AGTACCCCTGAAAAAAAGGGATCACCCCTTTTTTCCTTTAGTAAAAAATTCGAAAATATCCCAATTTACAAGAAAATTTTTGTACATTAATTAAACTGATAATTACTGCTAAAGTTTTTTTTTAAATTTAATTACAATTTAGATTTTTGGGCAATATACTTTTGGCATAAATTAAATAATTTGGGATAAAATTTTTACACCGTTTTTTTTCTTGGGTTTTTCCTTTTCCCATTTATTTTTCAAAGAACTGTACCCAACCCACCATAGTCATCGTCAAAAGGCAAATTTGGGTACCAAGAAATAAAAATAAAAAAACAGCAATGAACATGACTTGGGAAGCTATAGAAGACATAAAACAGCAAAAGAAGGGATTGAAGCTCTTTTAAGCAGCTTCAAAAACTGTAGAGCTTAAAAAATAAGTCTGTATTGTAAAGAAAAGATATCGTATTTAAGTACACTAGATACAGTATTTTAGTATTTTAATTATAACAGAGAAGCTGCTCAACACATAGGGGGGGATACAAAACCTTGGGAAAAGGTAAAAATTTTTTTAGATAAAGAAGAGAGGGAAACACCCTTCCCAAATCAAGACTCTTCATTGACATAAGGCACCCCCTTTAGGGGGTTGGTTGCTGTCAAGATTTGTAGCTTTTGTCACAGGGGTCCATTTCCAACCCCCCGAGGAAAGGTATTGATGCAAGTAAAAGGCTCTTGAATAAAAAACTGAATTTATCCCCCCTTCCTTGGGTTAAACCGATTGCTTCCATTCCCCCGGGGCTTTTGAGCCTATGGTTTGTGCTACCCCTTTTGATTAATCAAAATAATTCAGTCCAAATGATGTCCCCTATTACAAAAAAAGTACTAAACCCATAGTGGTCTTTTTGATTGAAAAAACAAGAACAAGCAATATGGGTCATACAGACCTGAGGAAGGGAAAAAATCAATAAATTTAAAGAGGTTTATCATTTTAAAAAATTTATGGGGGGGGGGGGAGCACAAACCCAAAGGATTATACAGTGACTGACCAAGGTGCACAAAACTCAAGTTTTCATTTTTTTAAGATAGTATGCAAATTTTTTATTTTTCTAAATTAGTATGATACAATTTTTATTTAAAAAATTTTTGTAATGTTAGTTACTGGGTTTGGGGCCAGGTGGAAAAAAATCCCTACTCGCCAAAAACAGCTCAACCAATGGGCCCGGATCAGACAATTTTCGTTTTAAAAAAGGTCCATAATGATAGGTTCATTTAACTCTTCTTTTCCCTTAACAATGTATTTAATTTATATTTTTTTTCCTATTTTATAATACAAACAAAAAGATAAAAATCAGATATAGTGGCATATATAATTGCTTTTTTCTTAGCTGTGTTATAAAATAGTAATGGCCTTCCCCTTTCCAAAATTTTTGTACCCGTTATTCAACACTAACAAAAAGATTAAAAATTTTTGTTTCTCCATCAGATCAACTTTAGGCATAAGTGTAGTGGAAGTATTTGAAAGGAGGAGAAAATTATGCAAAAGATGATGGCCAAACGCCCCTGGAGAACCGGGAAAGGATCCCTTTACTGGTGCAGATGTCGGTTGTATTAATTGCTTACCGTATGGGGTGCTGGAAAAATTTAAAGTTTTTTAAAACGTGATACAACCCCCCAAGGGGCTTTGGTGTAGATGTTGCTACAGCAACACAACTCCAACATCAATTATATATATTCTTTTACTCTTTTTATATCTAAAACCCCCGGGCTTTTTTAACATAAATATTGCCACAACCCCACTTATATAAAAGCCTACGCAGTGTTCTTCATTTTTCCCCGTTTTTTTTTTTTTTAATGTTTTTGGAGAATATTGGGAACCCTGATACGGTTTTTGCTAAGGGATTGGCCCGTTCTTTCTCGTTTGGTTTACAGTTTGTACAATTAGCATTGGGTGTAGTGTCAGACCCAAGTTGTGTAGAAATTTTTCAGTTTCTTCCTGCATTCAGTTAAAAAAAGGGTTGACATCCTGGAAAACAGATTTGGTTGAGGATTACTTCTTTTTTGAAAAGGGGGTGAAAGGGAAAACACTTGCTTTTTAAACCCCCAACGATTCCCTGCTTTTGGGGGTTTTTTTTGTAAGTAAACTGTGCTATATTTTTTTGCTTTAAAATTTTTGCCACTTTTTTATGTCAGGATCACCAACATTTCACCAAAAACCAAAAAAGAACTTGTTAAAAAAAAAACACTAAGCGGCATTTATACCTTTCCCCGTGAAGGATGTACAAGGTTTATGAGGAAATTAGATTTTAAAAAAAGAATCAAAGAATAAAACATTATATGCAGTAAGATGGATGACATTTTTGCAAGCATTTACTTGAAGCCCAAGAAAATATCTTATGAATTAACTAGAACAAGCAACAAAGAAAACAACTGTTGGCTATTTATTTAAATCAGCAGTAATACCACTACCTACTATTTTTTAAAAATTTTTTGGGTCATTCAGTCTATAATCTTTGCAAGGTTATTTTTTCCAAAACCCAACACGCATTGCCCACCTGATGACTGGCTACTCTTTTACAACTACATTTTTACATTTAAAACTTTTCCCCAAACATATACACCCCCAAATACAAGTTACGCTCCTTTAAAACATAGAAACAAAAAGAATGCAGAAGTAATTAACATTTTATTTTAATCAAGGGGGAAGCGCTAAACCCGGGGGATTAACACGCCTGGGGGGGGAGATGTGGAAGGCATTAGGGTTAATTCGGGGAACTGGAGCACGACCAATTCCCCAAATCAAGAGCCCCCCCACGAACATCAAGGAACCCCCCTTAGGGGGTAATATAACAGCTTTGCAAAAAAACCTTCGACAAGTGTGACCATGGGTAATACGACAAAATGCTGCTAAAGGAATAAAGGGAAAATTTTCGATGGATCAAAAATTTTCCCCATAACAGAACACAGGAGTGTCCAACAGAGAAAGTCCGAGGCGTCGGGGAAAAGCCTTTTCCCCAAGGCACAGTACTCCTCCCATCTTGTTCCCATCCTCAATCCGACATAGACAAGGATGTCAGCCACAGCACCATGTCTCCTTTGCAGATGACACCCGAATCTGCATGACATGTCTTCCTTGCAGAACTGCAAAGGGCCCCGGGGGACATCAACCAAATCTTTCAGGGGCTGCAGAAAACAATAGAATTCAAAAGATGAAAATTTTAATTTTCCAATATGGAAAAAATGAGGAAATTAAAATTTTATCAGGTACAAAACAAATTCTGGCCACAAAATAGAGCGAAAAAACCAACTCAAAGACCTGGGGGTGATCATTTGGAGGACTCACCCTTTAAGGACCTAACATTGTATCAATTGCATCTGCTAGAAAAAAAGAAGGTGGATAATGAGAACCCCTTTAAAACTAGGGACCAAGCCCATGATGACACTCTTCAGGACACTTGTTATCTAGGCTGGAAAATTGCGCAACTAACAGCACCTTTCAAGGGAATGAAATTGCCCACCTAAAAATTACAGAGAACTTTACGGGGCGCAAACAATAAAACACCTCAATTATGGGGGGGGCACTTTAGGTTCCTAAACCTTATTCCCTGGAAACAGGAGGGGGAGATACATGATTATAACACCTGGAAAATTAGAGGGACGTACCAACTTTCACACGAAAATCACTCACCGAAAACAAAAGACTTGGCAGAAAAATGCACCATCCCCCCAAAGAAAAAAAGGGGGGTCATAGCACGTTTAAAGACCCAAAAATAAGTGTCAGGGGCCCCAGACTGTTCAACTGCCCCCGCACACAAGGGGGGTTTCCAAAGACCCCTGGCAGTCTTAAGCTGGCACTGGACAAGCACCTAAAGTCATTCCCATCACGGGCTTGGCTCGACTTGGGTTGCGTGCACCAGCAGCAACACCTGGTTGACGGCCCCGATCCAAGGAGGGCCCGGTCACAGACCGGGCTGCGGGGCGTTTACCCCCCAAAACTCTCCCGGTAACTCCAGGTAATATGTCAATAAACACAATATGGGGAAAAGATTTATTTAAGAAGTATTTGTCCACCAGAAAATTTGTCCAAATCTTTGATTTTTAAAAATTTGGGGGGGGAAACACTAAACCCAAGGGGGCAAAAGTGCAAGGGAAAAGGGAGGAAGCGTTTGTCCAAGGTAGGAAGGGGCAATCCCGGCCTTGGATGAAGAATTGGTTTTTGGCCCTTCCCTTCCTTAAAATTTAATTTGATCTCCCATTCCCCAACACGGAGACCCTGCATTTAGCACTTTTCCCTAATTACAATAATCTCCGAATAAATTGATAAAATCCCTGGAGAAAAAGTCTTCATTAATAAAATACCATAGCCCCCAATCTTATTTTAGTAGTATGACAAAGTAAAAAGAACAAAAATGCACAATACCAGACTGAAACAAAAACAAAAAAACTCAAAAAGGAGAGAGGACTTACAATGATGTTTTTGTCCAACTTTCAAAATTTACAAAATCACATAAAAGGAGGGGAGTAATTTATGGCCCCTGACAGGGATGGGGCAATTTTTTTAAAAAAAAAAGCGCTAAACCTACAAGGTCATACAAAGCCGCAGGGACAGGCAAGAGAGCGGGAGGGAAGGGTTTGTAATAGTATGGAGTCAGTCAAAAGGGCCAAGAGGGCACTGCCTTGGGTGTTTGGGCCTTTTCTCTTTACCCCCCCTTTTTTCTTTCGTTTTTGGGCCCTTAGCTTCCCGCAGTGCTCCTCTTTCTTGGTCTTTGACTGCTCCACACTACTATACTACTTTCCCTTTCCTGTTATCTCCTCTTGTCCTGCCCTGTCACGGGCCTATAATACGCCCCCTTCTCTCCCCTTTTGTTTTTGACTGTAAATGGGCCAATTGGGGCGAAACACATTCAAACTCCTCCCTCCCAAGGGGGTTTTTTGTCTATGACAAAGTTAACCTAAGCTAATGGTAAACGTTTTTTGTTTTTTTAAAAATTTTAAAATTAATGAATTACATATTAGTATTGCCCTCTATATTTTATTACATACCTTTTTAAATTGAAATATCCATCTTTCCAGAGAGGAAATGTTCAGTGCCGTGTAACTGAGTGTCCACCTGCAACATGTGACCACCCAGTGCTCAGAAAAGATCAGTGTTGTCCTGTCTGCTGAGGCATATCTGCTTGTAATACTCGTTTCTTTTATCTGCTTCCATTTCGTGGAGGTGTGCTGTGCTCGTCCTCTTGCTGAACTACTCATTTCCTAATTTGCTGTCAGAAGCTGTTGACATGAAATGATCATACATCCTCTGCCAAAGAAAAAGATAATGAATGTGTTTGTGTTGATTAACTAACGTACAATGGGAAAAACACTTGCACTGTTATTGACACATTTTTTAGAACACATTCAGCTTTTGTGTAATATATTATGAATGTAAGTTCAGATTCATCTGGAACAAAGGTTGCAAAATGGGTGCATAGATTTCAAATATGACTGTGATCTCTTATGATAAGGAATAGACATAACATACACAAAACTTTTGAGAGTATCTTCACAAATTTAGTCCCTGAATTACATACAATGAACATTGTTAAAAATAATGTGTTGAATACAGCAGGCATAGGGTAACAGATAAACTACTTACAGAAGTTTAAAACTTCAGTATAAAACTAAAATTAGCTTATTACTATTCCATCCTTTTTCCTATTTCTCTTTTACTTGAGCACTGCCCGCATACTGCTTGTCACTGCCACTGGAACCATTTCACTGTTATAAAATAAGTAGTGTTGGCCAAGCTTGTGCTTGCATACTAGTCAGTAGGAAATCATGTATGTCTACTTGTTAGGTGTATCGACATGAGAGTTATAAACACACTAACTAATCAATCACATCATTTTCTGGGATGGCTCAGTTACCTAAGCTCTGCTTACTTTAATGACATTTTAGCATTACTAATATGGTGCTATTCAATGAAATTTCATTTCTGACATTTATACTGTTGTGTGTATTCATGTGAGAGCAATAAACTCATTATCCAGTTATCATTATTTTCTAAGACAGCTCAGTTGCCTATGCTCTTTTTTTTTAATGACTTTGTAGCATTACTTATATGGTGCTATCAACATTAAATTTTATCTCTATAATATTTATTACTTACCATAATACCATTCACTGCCAATAGTGTTATAAGAATATTTTGTAAACTTTTTAATTGATTATAATAATAATAATAATGTAAACTTTTTAAAAGAGAACACACATTGTCAGCACATTTCAAATGTCATCAGACTACACTCTATACTTTTTATAAACCTTTTTTTGCATTTGCTCTCTCTTTCCATGGATTGTTTTTTTGATGATTTTTGAAATTTGTATACAGTACTGTACTTTCCTTACCTCACTATTTAAAATGGTAAAAATCAAGTCTTAGACTTGGAATCATTGCCAATAATGAATCTGTAGAAAGAAACCTTCTGATAAGGCTATTCAAGGATGATGATGGTCTTTAGAATATAATTCTTGCTACTTTGCATTTGCAAATTTCTTAAAAAAAAAAAAAAATGAGAACCATGATATTACAAGTGACTGAAAATAAAAGTGACTGCAGTGTTATAACTGATATTTGGTTGGTGTTTTTTTTTTTTTTTTATGTTGCCAACATTAAATGAGAGGGCACTGCCTTGTACTACACTTATTGAATTGACTGAATTTTTATTTACAAGCAATACTGTATCAGTACATGCATGTTGTATAAAACAATAACAGAGAAAGCCAGTTTAACTGACAAGCACTTTTTCTTTGTTAACCATCTAAATCTAGATGTAAGAACCATTTTTTTTCTCAAGAATACCTCATGACTTTTTGTATAACAATAAATAAAACTTATTAAGCAGAGACCTTATATAGTATTTCTTAAGAAAAATTAACACCAAGGCTTTTAACAATATAAACAAACACTAACTTTGTTATAACTAAAGCTTAAACTTTCCCATTTCAGACGGGAAAAATTATACATAGTACTATATAAAATACAGGAAGTTTACTGAGGTAGCTAGTTGCAAGTATGAAATGGAACTCGATTTTTATTCAGGATAATGAAATGTGTATATTACTGGATGTGTACTTTGGGTAGCTGTAGTGAAACTAACTTAACGCCCAAATAGTACTGTATATAATAATGTGACTCTGAGGCTACAGTGGTATAATCCTGAAAATTGTTTTTGAAATATAATTAATAAAGCATCAATGATATTGTGAATTCATGGATATTTGTACTGTACTCAAAATTACTCATGTATATTATTTAAAGTAATACAGTATCAAAGATTATTTTAAAAAATATAATAACTTATTACAGGACAAAACATTTGCTTCTATAACATTTTGATTTGAAAAATACATTACTTCATGGGGAGCCCATCTGGCCCTCCAGTCCATCGAGTGTATAGTGCTCAGCATAGAAATACCTTCACTACTGCTCACTAAGGTAGTTTTGTTGCATTCAATGTCAACTAGGAGTAAAGCCCAAAACTCCAGTCAACATTAGAAACAGCTCGGGAAGGCAAAAGAAACTGGGTCTTCCCAGGACCCTTGATGCAACTACAGGATGATGGTAGTCAGACTGGACTGCCAGAACACATCTCCCAGACCACACAAATTATAATATTCATGGGGAAGTTAAACAACACCTAGGTAATGGGAAGTAATCAGGTTAATATAAGGGGAGGGCAGATCCAATTCTTTAGATCAAGAGTCCATTACTAGTGTCAAGGAAAATTCCTTGAAAGGAGTGTCTACAGAGCCCTCAAATGAAATGGAGCCACTATTGGAATTAGCAGGACCATATACAAACTTTACAATATTCACAAAGATGACCTTACACTGGGTATAGTATATCAGCAACTGCTAGAAAAATGATCCAGTGTGAAGAAAAGAGAATAAGATATGCTGCAGGGAAACCATTGTTACTGCTACAAAGTTTTGTCCAGGGCTGAACTTTGTCAAGTATACAAAAAAACAGAGGCTTTGAAAAAGTTCAGCCCTGACTGAAACTTTGCAACAGTAATCAAGGTTCTCTCCCTGCAACATGCAGTCAGCTCTCTTATAAAGCTGATCTATATATAGTGCAGTTTTTTGTAAATGTTCACCCAAAATTGAATAGCATGTGAAAAAGGCCTTCACAGCACATGGTATTCAATTTTTAATGTACTTTTTTAGTTGCTTCTTCCCCCAAAATAGTATTACTATATAGAGACCAGCTTTATAACAGCTTACTGTAGTATTTTTCTCCCTTTGTCAGCTTATGCCATCATTTACCATGAGGGAGATTATTATTATTATAATCAAAAAGAAGCGCTAAGCCACAAGGGCTATACAGCACCATGAGAGAGAGTAGAGTTTTTTTTTTTATACTATCACAAACAAATGACTGGTGTCTGGAACTTATGCTAAACTTCTAGCTGAGGTTGGACCTAAGCAAACTACCTTAACAAGCAGTAGTGAAGGTGGAGTCCTTATGCTGAGTGCAAAACATGCAGATGAACCATGTTGAGGACAGAGAGGTGAATAATGGTGTGAATGAGGTATTATGTATTCCATATGGGACTGTAGGAGCTCCCACAGCAGAAATGTGTTTGTAAGGATCAACCCAATGTTATCTATACTGTATATGCTTGGTGGCTATAAACCCGGGGGATTTAAAAGTGTAAAGAGAAACTTGTGTACTCATTCTTGACTCAATAAAGAATGTTTACAAAATAATCTTTCTTTTTGTCCCATACATCTTTGTTTCCTTACCTCCTCTTGAGATGTCATAAATCATTATTGTTATTTTTGTATTAACACATCGGCCATTTCCCACTGAGGCAAGGTGACCTGAAAAAGAAGAAACAATTTCATCATCATTCACTCCTCCTTCAGATTGCTGGCACTGTACTTCCCAACTCCAGGACTTGAGTCTGGCTAACCAATTTCCCTAACTCCCTTCATAAATGCTGCTTCGCTCACACTCCAACAGCACATCAAGCCATAAAAAACATTCGCCTCCAATCACTCCTGTCTAAGATGTTCACGCATGCTTGTTGGAAGTCCAAGCCCCTCGCATACAAAACTCCTTTACCCCATCTCTCCAACCTTTCCTAGGATGGCCCCTTGAAGGGTCTGGAGTATACCTTGAGAGAGTTCCGGGGGTCAACGCCCCTGCGGCCCAGTCTGTGACCAGGCCTCATGGTGGACCAGGGCCTGATCAACCAGGCTGTTACTGCTAGCTGCATGCAGTCCAACATATGACTCACAGCCTGGCTGGTCAGGTACTGACTTTTAGTGCCTGTCCAGTGCCTGCTTGAAGACAGCCAGGAATATATTGGTAATCTCCCCTTATATATTGGTAATCTCCCCACTGGACAAGCACCTAAAGTCGGTTCCTGATCAGCCGGGCTGTGGCTCGTACGTTGGTTTGCGTGCAGCCAGCAGTAACAGCCTGGTTGATCAGGCTCTGATCCACCAGGAGGCCTGGTCACAGACCGGGCCGCGGGGGCGTTGACCCCCGGAACTCTCTCCAGGTAAACTCCAGGTTATGTAGGCTGGGAGGCAGTTGAACAGTCTTGGGCCCCTGACACTTATTGTGTTGTCTCTTATCGTGCTAGTGGCACCCCTGCTTTTCATCATCTGCCGAGTCTTTTGCTTTCATAGGGATTGATTTTCATGTGCAATTTTGGTGCTAATCCCTCTAGGATTTTCCAAGTCTATATAATCATGTATCTCTCCCACCTGCATTCTAAGGAGTACAGGTCTAGGAACTTCAAGCGTTCCCAGTAACTGAGGTGCTTTATCGCAGTTATGTGTGCCAATAATCTAAGATACAGCAGTACCCCAGAGGAAATATGTCACTTTGTGTGAATTTTCTGGGTTATCCTGCTAGGTAATTTACACTGTGTATCATAATTAAACTTATGTGTACCTGTACTCACCTAATTATGGTTGCAGGGGTCGATTCATAGCTCCTGGCCCCTGTGCCAATATTTATTTCTTAAGTTTATTTAGGTACAGGTACACATAAATACAGTTACACAAATTATCATACATGGTAACATATTATTATAATCATAAATAAGCGCTAAGCCCACAATAAGTCATACAAGGTGACTTATAGTAAAAATAATAATAATAATAATATTTTATTAGGACATGATACATAGTTTTACAAGGTATTATAGTAGTTGGGTGTACATGTGGATTATTATTATTATTATAATCAAGGGGGAAGCGCTAAACCCGTAGGATTATACAGCACCTGGGGGGGGGATGTGGAAGGCATTCAGGCTTAATTCGGGGAACTGGAGCACAGATCCAATTCCCTAAATCAAGAGCCCCTCACCAACATCAAGGAACCTTCCTAGAGGGGTGTACATGTGGAAAGCCCCTTGTATGCAGAGCATTATAAGGCTTAAATATAACTTAAAACTATCTAAGCTATAATAAATTTAATGGTAAGAGTTACTGTAAACAATTTACAATATCAAGTCACATTGTGACAAAGTCACAATGGTCCAAGTTGGACCGAAACGTCGTCGTAAGCTTCTCTCTTTTATGTGCGGGTTATTTGTGTATTGAACATTTCAATTTTGAAGCATTATAGTTTTACAATTTTGTAACATTACAGTTAATAATATAACAAAATGATCAATTTGCTATATGTAGTCATATAATTTAATAATCAGATCAAATCAAATCAATGATCTGTAGTGCAGTAACAGTTTATTTCCATATATTTCTATACATTCAATATATTTCTATATTGATCAAACTTATAGGTAGTAGGTTGGTAGACAGCAGCCGCCCAGGGAGGTACTACCGTCCTGCCAAGTGAGTGTAAAACGAAAGCCTGTAATTGTTTTGCATGTTGGTAGGATTGCTGGTGTCCTTTTTTCTGTCTCATGAACATGCAAGATTTCAGGTACGTCTTGTTACTTCTACTTACACTTAGGTCACACTACACATACATGTACAAGCACATATATACACACCCCTCTGGGTTTTCTTCTATTTTCTTTCTAGTTCTTATTCTTGTTTATTTCCTCTTATCTCCATGGGGAAGTGGAACAGAATTCTTCCTCCGTAAGCCATGCGTGTTGTAAGAGGCAACTAAAATGCCGGGAGCAAGGGGCTAGTAACCTCTTCTCCTGTATATATTACTAAATGTAAAAGGAGAAACTTTCGTTTTTCCTTTTGGGCCACCCCGCCTCGGTGGGATACGGCCGGTGTGTTGAAAGAAGAAAGAAAGATTGATCAAACTTATTGTAAACTTCTTTTATTGACCATTTTTATTCTATACTTTTTTAAACTAGTATTTTCAACTACAACTTTTATATTATCCTGTCTACCATCTTACTAGCATATTATAACCAAGTCATTGCCATTTTTATTTTCATCATTTTTTTATTATTCTTTTGCTACCTTAATTTGTATATTTTATCCTGTCAATTTAAATCTAATTATACTCTAATTCTTGTAAACAACTTACATAAGACCTTAGTGCAATTACAATTGAGAGTCTTGTGCCTTTATTATATTATTAGATTAATCACAGTTATACTCTAGCTCATTCTAGCTTAATACATAGTCAATACCAAATTCACTGTATTAGACCATAGTGCAATTACTAGTGAGAGACTGGTGCTATTTGTAATTTGTATTTTTATATTATTAGACTAAACCTAGTTGTACTATAGCTCTTTCTAGCTCAATACATAGTCAATACCAAATTCACTATATTAGACCATAGTGCAATTACTAGTGAGAGATGGGTGCTATTTTTAATTTGTATTTTTATATTATTAGATTAAACTCAGTTGTACCATAGCTCATTCTAACTCAATACATAGTCAATACCAAATTCACTATACAGTGGACCCCCGGTTAACGATATTTTTTCACTCCATAAGTATGTTCAGGTGCCAGTACTGACCGAATTTATTCCCATAAGGAATATTGTGAAGTAGATTAGTCCATTTCAGACCCCCAAACATACATGTACAAACGCACTTACATAAATACACTTACATAATTGGTCGCATTCGGAGGTAATCGTTATGCGGGGGTCCACTGTATTAGACCATAGTGCAATTACTAGTGAGAGACTAGTGCTATTTTTAATTTGTATTTTTATATTATTAGATTAAACCTATTTTACTATAGCTCATTCTAGCTCAAAACATAGACTCCACAAAAGTCATTATATTAGACCTTAGTGCGATTACAAGTGAGAGTCTTGTTCTATTTTTAATTTGTATTTTTATATTACTAGCTTATACCTAGTTGTACTTTAGCTCATTCCAGCACAACACATAGACAACATCAACTTCATTATGTGTAGTAGTGACTATACTCTACATGACCAAAATACTCTAGCTATATACTTGTCCAAACTTCCTACCACCACAGATATCAGTACTGAACACAACACACAACTCAGGATATAAATAACCATAATTTAAACCTAGAAGATGATTGATCACGTTGACCCTGATCTAAACCTCCATAATCTGACACCCAATCAAAACCTATTGGAAAGTACCTGCCTTTATTACACAGCATCACAAGCCAGCACTATCCTAAACAATGCTAAAAGTCTATCAGTACTTAACTACAACATCAGGTCCTTAAGCAAACACTATGATGACCTCCTAGCACTCCTTGAATCACTAAAGACACCCTTCTCCTGCATTATTCTTACTGAGACCTGGCTTAAGCAGGACACAATAGATATCTACCCTCTACCCGGATACACAGCAATTCACAACTGCAGACCAAACCAAGTTGGGGGTGGTATTGCAATCTATTACTCTAACCAATTATCTTGTATTAGCACCACTTGCTTTAGTGATGAATATGGGGAATACATTTTTGCTAATTTTACTGTAAAAAATCCTTAAGACGCCTATAACAATCGGTGCCATTTACCGGATACCTCACACAAACATCCCAAATTTCAGTGAGAAATTAAAGTCACTAATAACAAACAGAAAAATGAATAAGCACCACCTTCTCTTAGCTGGAGACTTCAACATCAACCTTGGCTTACTAGATGATCAGCCTGTAACTGATTTCATCAACAATATGAACAACATACTTCTCATACCAACAATAACTAAACCAACCAGGCTCACTGAGACAAGTGCAACCATAATAGACCACATATGGACCAATATACTAGCCCCCCTTAAATCAGGGATAATCACAGGTAGCACTACAGACCACTACCCTACCTTCCCCCTGACAAACATTAGTAAACCACCACTTGAATACAACAAAGTCTCATTTAGACTCCATGACGAGGCCTCAGTAAGGAAGTTCACAGCTGACCTAGAGACTGTTGACTGGCCTACAGAATTCTCCAAGGCCAATGGTATTGATGACTGGACAGACATTTTTCTTAACAAATTACTTAGACTATACAACAAACATTGTCCTATAAAAACAAAACAGATCACAAACAAACAGCTTGGCTGCCCATGGCTAACCAGCACCATTCTGAAATCCATTGACAAGAAACACCAATATGAAAAGCAGACTTAAACAACTATAGGCCAATATCAAACTTACCATTGCTATCCAAAATCTTTGAGAAACTCGTGCACAGGAGACTATATTCATTTATAACAGCACAAAACATACTCAACCCCTGCCAATTTGGATTTAGGAAAAATAAAAGCACTAATGATGCAATCATAAAAATGCTAGATCTGCTTTACACAGCATTGGAAAATAAGGAATATCCACTAGGAATTTTTATTGACCTAAGAAAAGCTTTTGACACAGTAGACCATGACATCCTACTTCACAAACTTGATCATTACGGTATAAGAGGCCATGCGCTTGCTTATTTCAAATCTTACATTACTAATAGGTATCAGTATGTCACCATTAAAGACACAGCATCAGCAACACGGCCACTTGATACTGGAGTTCCGCAGGGAAGTGTCCTTGGTCCCCTGCTCTTCCTCATATACATCAATGACCTTCCAAACGTATCCCAACACCTGAAACCCATTCTCTTTGCTGACGACACGACTTACGTCATCTCTCACCCTAATCTTGCCACCCTCAACACCATTGTGAATGAGGAGCTGATCAAAATATCGACTTGGATGACAGCCAATAAACTACGCTTAACACTGACAAAACCTACTATATTATGTTTGGTAGCAGAGTAGGAGATGCACAAATTAACATTAAGATTGACAACACTCTAATTACCAGAAATAATGGGGGCAAATTCCTAGGCTTATACCTTGACAACAACCTGAATTTCAGCACCCATATCCAGCATATAACCAAAAAAGTATCCAAAACGGTTGGGATCCTCTCCAAGATACGATACTACGTGCCGCAAAATGCCCTTCTCACACTATACCACTCACTTATTTATCCATACCTCACCTATGCTATTTGTGCTTGGGGATCAACTGCAGCAACACACCTAAAGCCAATAATAACCCAACAAAAAGCTGCAGTAAGAATAATCACTAAATCCCATCCCTGGCAACACACCCCCCCACTCTTCCTAGACCTAAACTTACTCCCTGTTCAGTACATCCACACTTACTACTTTGCAATCTACATCTACAGGGTCTTAAACTCTAGTATCAACCTTGACCTAAAATGCTTTCTTGATAGTTGTGACAGAACCCACAGGCATAACACCAGACACAAACATCTCTACGACATTCCCCGTGTCCGACTAAACCTTTACAAAAATTCAATGGAATACCCTACCTGAGAACTCTAGAACTGCAGACACATTCATCACCTTCAAAACTACCATTAGAAAACATCTTATCTCCCTGATACACCCTGTCAACTAACTACACGAATACAACCTGGTGGTTCACACTTACACTCACTCACCCATTTGACCATAAACAGAAATATTAATCTCAATCTTAAAATAATGAATCCTGTGATACTCCAATACTGAAACTATGTACTGTGCCAAAACAAAAGCATTCACATTGCTAAACTCACAAACTAGTATTTAGTCACTTAGCCATAATACCAACTTACCTCATAATTTGTAATATTTTACAATTAAGAATAAAACTAAGTCTGCCCGAAATGCCTAGCCATGCTAAGCGTTCTAGTGGTACACTGTAATCATTATTTTACTACATGTAAACCACACAATAACCAAATTTCTGTAAACTCAGCATTGTAATCCTTATAGAGAATAAACTTTGAATTTGAATTTGAATTTGAATTTATGTGACCCACAAGTCAGCCAGCAAGTAAGTAGCACCTTGGTACCTACCTTCTGCTAGGTGCACCGGGCAACACTTGTACTGAGACATGACCAACATATTCACTTGTGCCAGGGCGAATTATTATTATTATAATCAAAACCAAGCGCTAAACCCGTGCCAGGTTGAACCCAGGTTCTTCAGCTATGAACCAAAAGTGTTTACTTTCTTTCTTTGTTGGGTTTGTTAGGGCCACTGACAATATAAGCCGTATCGAACCCGACTTCTCGATGGTACGAGGAAGATTTCTTTGTTGGGTTTGTTAGGGCCACTGACAACATGAGCCGTATCGAACCCGACTTCTCGATGGAACGAGGAAGATTTCTTGCCCAAGGCTGGGCGATGAAAAAGAAGGAACGAAAGTTCCTTTGTAAATAGAGATAGAAACTTAAAGTTTCCTTATTACGAACACAGGTAAGAATGGCCTGTGACCTGGTCATAATGGGTTTGGAGAAAAATAAACTTAACAGATAGACTATAATTTGTATTTCCTTCACCAGATATATACAAATATTTACACTTACGTACACCATGTACAAAGATTGGAATAGTCAGTGTACCACACGGTGACAGAATGGCAAAAGCAATTCCAAAGAGAGAGCACCGTACACAACCAGCTAGTAGACAAGTCTGGCAAATGCTGACTGCGAGTGAACCACATCGCCTCAGCACTTGGCGGGCTCGCCTGTAATTGGATAATAAACCAAGGTACTGATTTAACGACAGGTACCCTAAAAATCGTTAAACTCATACCACCCTGTTCGCTGGTTCTAAGGCAGCCTACATGCACACGAAAATCACTCACTACGAAAGCAAAAGACTTGGCAGACGATGCAACATCCCCCCAATGAAAAGCAGGGATGTCACTAGCACGTTAAGAGACCATACAATAAGTGTCAGGGGCCCGAGACTGTTCAATTGCCTCCCAGCATGCATAAGGGGGATTACCAACAGACCCCTGGCAGTCTTCAAGCTGGCACTGGACAAACACCTAAAGTCGGTTAATGACCAGCCGGGCTGTGGCTCGTACGTTGGTTTGCGTGCAGCCAGTAGTAACAGCCTGGTTGATCAGGCTCTGATCCACCAGGAGGCCTGGTCACAGACCGGTCCGCGGGGGCGTTGACCCCCGGAACTCTCACCAGGTAAACTCCAGGCAGGTCATAGCAGCTCTCCTTACTCTGTCTCCCTACGATCCCCGTTGGGGAGGGGAACCTTTATCAACGTCGTCTTCGCCTTGACTTACACGATGAGCTACGCAGATCGTGTAAAGATCAAACCAACAAACGGTACCGTTGATGATTCACCGAAGATTGCTCTTGCAACTATTGTTCAAGGAGCACTGCAAGTAAAATTCAACACCATATTGTCACTGAAAGAAGCATTCATTGTTGTGTGTCACGATGATGCTGAAGCAGAGAAGTTACTTACTACAGAAGCCACCACTACTCTTACTGCTCAAGGGTTTACTGTTACATCATCTCCTGCCCTCAGGGCAAGGAAATCAGTATTCCTTAAAAAACTTGACAAGATTCTGACTTCTCAATCAACTGCTGAACTCAAGTCATCCATCGAGACGCAAAATACTTGGGCTACTGTTGACAGCATTACAAAAATCCCAAATGCAACGTCCATGCTCAAGGTCACCTTCACCGACGTGAACATGGCTGCCACTGCTCTGAACGAAGGTCTTGCTGTCTACTACTACTATATCAGTCCTACCTACATTGAAGCAGATTATTATTATTATTATAATCAAAAAGAAGCGCTAAGCCACAAGGACTATACAGCGCTGCAGGGCAGGAAGGAAGCGAGGGCATCAGGTGGCAAAAGGGAGATGGATGAGTAATAGGTTACGGATAACAGCGGGGCAGTGGATGGTGAAAGGGTAAAGGGCAGCAAGAGACTGAACTAGAAAGGGCTGAGGGGAGTGCGAAAAGTATCATCAGAGTTTGTGGAGTAAATCAGTCGTTGTCAAAAAGTCAATGAGAGAGTCAGGATTAAAGGAGGGTCCATCAGCAAGAAGGGAAGGTAAAGAGAGAGTAGTAGAACGAAGACGACGTTGGAGGTAAATTCTGCGTGCTCGTTGATAGAGAGGGCAGTCTAACAGAATGTGGCTAATCGATACTGGAACTTGACACTGCTCACAGAGAGGAACAGGGTGCCTCTCCATGAGATACCTATGAGTAAGACGAGTGTGACCAATGCGAAAGCGGGAGAGAGTGGTCTCCCAACCTCGGCACCGATGACAAGAAGACGGCCAGTAACCTATGCTCGGTTTAATAGAATGAAGTTTGTTACCGAGCAGAGTTGACCAACGTTGTTGCCAACGGGTGCGAAGGTGGGTAGCTATTGCAGCAAAATAGTCCAGAAATGGAACACCTCGATAGGAAATTGGTAGGTCATGTACTGCTGACTGTGCAGCAGTGTCTGCCTGTTCATTGCCCTGTACGTCGACATGACCAGGGACCCAACAAAAAACAATATCTTTATGTTTGGTAGAGATACGGCGTAGCCAAAGTTGGATACGGAGAACTAGGGGATGAGATGTATCAAATTTTCGTATAGCCTGTAGAGCACTAAGGGAGTCTGAGACTACTACAAATGATGACACAGGCATAGATGCGATACGAATAAGTGCTGCAAGAATGGCATACAGTTCAGCAGTAAAAATGCTAGTTGAAGATAGTAAATGTCCCCGCACGACGCTGTCCGGAAACACTGCTGCGAATCCGACGCCATCTGAAGACTTAGAGCCATCTGTGTACACAGCGGTGGCATGAGAATGGGAGTGGAAGTGATCAAGAAAAAGAGAGCGGGAAGCCACCGTAGGCAGTTGAGCTTTCGAGCAAGGGAGTGAGAAAGAACAGACCCGAACAGCTGGAACTTCCCAGGGGGGTAGGGAAAAGTGAGATGCTACATGAACATATAAAGGTGGTAACTGAAGGGAAGACAAGAGTGAATGTAGGCGAAGAGAAAAGGGACGGAGCAAACAGGGGCGGCGAACGAATAAAGAATGTCTACTAATATCGGTGACCATTCTATAAATGGAAGGATTGTGTAGATCGTGAGAGCGTACATAGTAGCGAAGGCAATGGGCATCACGGCGATCAGACAAGGATGGAACATTCGCTTCTGTATAGAGGCTCTCAACAGGGGAAGAGCGAAAAGCACCAAGGCACAAACGTAATCCTTGGTGATGGATAGAGTTAAGGCTAGAGAGAGTAGCAGGAGAGGCCGCGGAATAAATCTGGTCACATTGAAGCAGAGAGATACCACTACATTCAACATTGCTGGAACTGTTATTCATACCATCACACCACGAAAGCATGTCCAGTAAAAGATAAGAAGTTCTGCACTACATGTGGTAGTGAGGGACACACCTTCAGTTCCTGCAACGCTGCTGCTCCATCACAACCAGCGTGCTTAAACTGCAAGAGTAATGATCACCATACACTGGCAGCAAAATGTCCTACAAGAAAGGATATTATGAAGAAAACACAAGATGCAGCAAAGAAAAAACCTACAAGCAACACTCCAACGTATGCAGCAATTGCAAAGATACAAGCAAACACTACAAAATTACTTCAAGCATCTACTCAGCCCGCCTCCACCATCATCACTCCTCCAACATGTGACGTAACCAAGATCCACTACTGCTTACTATACGCTCACATGCAGAACATGGCTGTACCTGGATCCTTTAACTCTACCATCAACGAGTTATTTGCATTAAATAATATGCCTTCATTTACATTTCCAGCATCTTCACCTTCTGAAGAAATTCTCAAATTCACCAAAAACTTAATCGCCAACTCTTCTGCAGAAGTTCCATCAACACCACCAACTAGTGACGTCAATCCAACAACGACCAATGAGAAGCCTCCACCGCCACCACCTCTCACTGAATCCAACCAATCAGAAGCCTTACCACCAGAAACATCTTCTAATTCGTCTACTGAAGTTGAAAACGAAGCAACACCACCTTCCTCTACTCCACCACCGCCTTCTCTACTTAGCTCACGTCGATTACCTGGAACACCATGGGTTAAACACAAAGGACTCATATTCTACACCACGAGGCTATACCCTGCAAGCATGACAAGCCTAGAACTCATCCAACATCTCCAAGACAACACTGTATCGTACCAAAGCGAAGAAAGACCATTCCCTACTTACAACCCGATACTCCACCAACGGTTTAAGACCATAACCAACTCATCCTGCTTGCTGCCTTCTGACACTCCCAGCTCCTGCCGCTGCCTTCGCCATCCTCTCCTAGTGAATCAAGCAATGACATCAGTCTAGCCTCTCTGTCTACGTCTCCAGTACTTTTATACCACATGTCCCAAAGTGGTTGGGCCACTTGCCTTGATTCCTCCTCTTCCCCTCCTCCCCATCCTTTTCCAGTTATTTCCATCCTTCCTTATCCTTCTTCCTTCCCATCTTACGACAGCTCTCGTCGTCCTCGATCTCGATCTCGATACTCTTTGTATGCCACACCCCCACCCCAAAAGGGCTCTGATAGCCAGGACTAGGCCTCCACCTCCACGTGTAGCATGCCACTGAGGCACTGACCAATAGAGGAACTGCCTTTTTTTTCGTCCATCCAACTCATTAGATAGAGCTCAGCTTTTCTCGAGACTGCTGGTCTTATTCCTCTGGTGTTAGCCCTCCCACATTATGAAGGAACCTAAGAGGAGATCGGCGATTAATAGCTCCTATAGCGGGATATACCTCAGGTTGGTGCGCCATAGTTGCTTCAACCCTTAATTTGGGACGAATAATGTCACAAAGCTGCACAGCAGTGAGTGTTGATATTCTGTGCCAATGGAACGAGCAATTCGCCAGCAACGCTGTAGAAATAGTTTGGGCAAATTTAGGAGAGCATATTCAGATACCAACTGCCTCACCTGTGTAGATAGCATTAACCCAATGTAACACATTGTTTGCAATGTACACAGCAAGCAGCAATAGCACAGTACGACTTCCAGGATACACACACAGTAGCAAGACTGACAGGTAATACAAAAAGCGATAGCAATACCAAGACCAGCTCTAACTCCAGCTCTGGATCCCGGACAGGCCCCCGTATTACGAACACAGGTAAGAATGGCCTGCGACCTGGTCATAATGGGTTTGGAGCAAAACAAACTCAGCAGATAGACTATAACTTTTATTTCCTTCACTAGATATATACAAATATTTACACTTATGTACACTATGTACAAAGATTGGAATAGTCAGTGTACCACACGGTGACAGAATGGCAAAAGCAAAAGCCAGAAAGAGAGCATCGTACTCAACCCGCTGGTAGGCAACTCTGGCAAATGCTGACTGCGAGTGAACCACATCGCCTCAGCACTTGGCGGGCTCGCCTGTGATTGGACAATGAACTAAGGTACTGATTTAACGATGGGTACTCTAAAAATCGTTAAATCCTTAACACCCAGTTCCCTGGTTGGGAGGCAGCCTATATGGGCGTGTGTACATATGCTGAATAAATTGTAACATGCTCTTTGCATGCCACATTCCTATCAGATCCGGTGGACGCCCTTGCCAAGTCCCAACAGAGTGGGACGCCTATATCCACACCTGAGTACAGTAACCGGCTTCCCACCAAAGACCGTTAAAGAATTATCCGCAAAGCAGAAAAAATGGAGCTGGCTAAAAGTAAGCCGATGAACAGGTGCCCTTCCTGTAAAGTGCCCAGCAGGCAAAATAGACGAGGACAACCGTCCCACAGGCAACGGGGAAAATTTATCACCGATACTCAGGCGAGAGAGAGAAGCCCACACCCGACGAAGGCTGGCGCAGAAGTCCCTGGATTATTATAATCATAATTATAATTATGGGGAGCACTAAACTCGTAGGATTATATAGCTCATGTGGGGGGATGGAAGGTATTCAGGCTCAGTTCAGGGAACTGGAGCACACATCCCATTTCCTAGATCAAGAGCCCCTCACCAGCGTCAAGGAACCTCTCTTGAGGGGAGAAGTGTTCACCTCCATTGTCTTCTTTCTTCTTTGTTGGGTTTATAAGAACCACCTACAGCTCACTCAGTATGGAGCCTGACTTCCCGATGTTCGAGGAAGATTTGTTGCTCAAAACTGGGCCACGAAAGAAAGGGATCGAGAAGAGTTAAATTCACTAGGGTCATGCAGCGCTGGTCCTTTGTAGACAGAAACAGGCACTAGAAGTTCCCGACTAGATCAGATGGACCATCTAGCCAAGCACCAGCAGAGCAGGACGCCCATGTCCCACCCGTAAGTTTAGTAACCGGCTTCCCAACAAAACCGTTAAAGAATTATCCCAGATAGGAAAAGTGGAGCTCGTGTATGGTCCTCTTTCTGTCCACACACCAGTGTATGACCCTGTATCTGTCCACACATTAGTGTATGGCCCTGTCTCTGTCCACACACCAGTGCATGGTTCTGTCTCTGTCCACACACTAGTGTATGGCCCTGTCTGTCCACACACCAGTGTATGACTCTGTATCTGTCCACACACCAGTGTATGGCCCTGTCTCTGTCCACATACCAGTGTATGGTCCTCTGTCTGTACACACACCAGTGTATGACCCTGTATCTGTCCACACATTAGTGTATGGCCCTGTCTCTGTCCACAAACCAGTGTATGGCCCTGTCTCTGTCCACATACCAGTGTATGGTCCTCTGCCTGTCCAGACATCAGTGTATGAACCTGTATCTGTCCACACATCAGTATATGGCCCTGTCTCTGTCCACACGCCAGTGTATGGCCCTGTCTCTGTCTACACACCAGTGTACGGCCCTGTCTCTGTCCACACACCAGTGTATGGTCCTCTGTCTGTCCACACATCAGTGTATGACCTTGTATCTGTCCACACACCAGTGTATGGCCCTGTCTCTGTCCGCACTCTTTGCATTCTGTCACTGATATCTCCATGCAAACCATACTGCCGGAGATACTTAAGGCTAGACTAGCAGTAATGGCATCTTGCATTCTACTGATCTTGTTACTTACTCTATAGATATGTATAACTTGACACATTTCATTATGATGGATAAATGGATCTGCTAGTTCCTATCTGTACTGTTCTACCGTACCCTTGGTTGTTAGTTCCTTTCTGGCAATGTTTCGTAAGCTTCTTTTAGATAAACCAAAATTATACTCAACATTTTCTTTATTTAGTGTATGTTCAGCTAATTCATTAACCTTGTCATGCTCCTGGACTCCCATGTGAGAGGGAAACCACAAAAGTTTAACTGCAATCCCTTTCTTAACAATTTATGTATATCTGTGCCCAGTTTCATACTCAAACATTTTAGCATACTACATTCAGGTCCCAGGCTATTTAGAGCAAGTAATGAAATAAGAGAGTCTGTTACAATTACAATTTGTGTGGTCGAAGTTTCCCCAAGCTTGAGAAGAATAAGTATGGTAAACAGTCCAGTTTGTAGGTGGAAGACTATTTATTAATTTTAATACACCTCTATATTACAGAGTGTTGCAATAATTGGTGACAATACTTGAGAAGCTTTTTTGTACATAAAAGTTGGCAAGTGAAATAAACATCATAAATAGATTATTAGTCATCAGATACTCAATAACTTGGGTAGTTGATGGGTTGGTAGAGTACTGGTGCCACTGTGACTGGGGCTGTGGGCATGGGCATAGCTCTGGGTTGGGAGTTTCCCTGGGTAATGTGCTGGTAGGGATAAGGAGTTAGAGTGATTGGGGCGTACTGGATGGGTGCCGAGGGTGGCTTGATGGTACTGGGGTCCCGGTAAGGATCCAAGGGATCGTGGTATTGGTACGGGGACCTGGCTTGGTATACAGGAGCGTGTAGGACCTTCACCACGGGTTGTCGTCCGTCCCTCGCTGAAAAGCAAGGATAATTTTTTTCATGAGTTGTGCATTATTACAAAAAACTGTAATAACAAAGTATTGAAAAGTTCAAAACAATGGTTACTTATATGGCAGGTTTACGCATTTCTAATAATTCCAACCTAGTGTTTTTGTAACTGAATTAGTGTCTGTAGAAAAAAAGCATTACTATTGTAACCAAATCATAAACCTTAAAATAGTTCATTACCCTTGTATCTTAATTATTTTCAAAAATTTGAGTCCCGGTCGCTGGATCATTATGCACCTCTGTAATATTTTCGACTACTACCCACTGTCATGTGGATTCGATTACGTGGATGGGGTAAAAATACTCACGTAGGCTGGTAGTACGTATACTATATAATGGGAAGTATGAGAAGCGCCAACAGCCGACCTGCCTCTCTTTGCTCCCTATCTTAGACTGACTCACAAGTGCCTAGCGGGTAAGGCATTCAAAAATATGTTATGGTCAACAGCAACATGAATAACAGTCAGTGATTCACACAGACGGTTGGTAGTGAGTCATCTACTGGTAACTGGTTACTAGGAACTGGTACTACTACTGAGAGCTCGGCAATGCTAACGTATGTTGTCCCGACATACAGCCAATACAAACTAGAGACAGCAGGTGTACGGCTTGGGCTGATTCTTTACAATGTCAAAGTACACAACAATTGAATATTATAACATAAGGAGAATATTGGAATGGAAGCTTACGTAATTGACTATAATGAAACTTACTGTAATGAAACTGTAATGCATTATAAGGTATAATATAGCACAACTCATCGAATGAGACTCAACATTGGGATTACACAATAGAAGTGATAAAAAAAAATTTGATCGATCGATCTGTATTCATGTGATCTACGGATTATGAAGAAGGAATATATACAAAGAAAGAAGTGTTTAACAGAAAGGCAGATTCGGTGCACTGAAATCTAGACTGTTAAATCTCAGAATTAGGAGAGAACGTGAACACACAAAAAAAATTCTTGTATCAATCGCATCTGCTAGAAAAATGACAGGATGGATAATGAGAACCTTCAAAACTAGGGATGCCAAGCCCATGATGACACTCTTCAGGTCACTTGTTCTATCTAAGCTGGAATATTGCTGCACACTAACAGCACCTTTCAAGGCAGGTGAAATTGCTGACCTAGAAAATGTACAGAGAACCTTCACGGCGCGCATAACGGAGATAAAACACCTCAGTTACTGGGAGCGCTTGAGGTTCCTGAACCTGTATTCCCTGGAACGCAGGCGGGAGAGATACATGATTATATACACCTGGAAAATCCTAGAGGGACAAGTACCGAACTTGTGTGAGAGATGAGTGCGCTAGCGATCGAGTTACGGGACATCTTAATTAAGCTGACAAAGTATAATTAATTACCCTCACATTGATGTCAAAGGATTTCGCCAGCGCAGCAGGCTTCTTCAGTCGAAAACAGATGAATGTAACATTAGAGACAGTAGAAGTGAGGAGGTAATTTTAAGGTGGTCAGTCTCTTAGTTTTGATCGTAGAATGTTCTGTGTGGGCGAAACGTGACTTACTTATCAGCTTGTCGATACTGTAAATCATGGGGAACTGTAAGGCATTTATAATATAATGCCATACAGTTCCCAAATTCTAAGACTGAGTGAATTCTTTGCGAAAGGTTTCGCCTAAAAATGGCTGTCTGTCAGTTAACAGTAACTAGGGCCTAGTTCGATCACTAGCGCACACAGCTTACACACTGAGGTCCGGAGATCGAATCTCCGGTACGGCTGGAAAACATTAGGACGTGTTTCCATATGACTCTTGCTGTCCCTGTTCACCCATCAGTATAAAATGGGTACCTGGGTGTTAGTCGACTGGTGTGGGTAGCATCCTGGGACAAAATTGACCAAATTTGCGGGAAATGCTCAGCATAACAAGTGGTTTTCTATATAGTAGTATGTTACTGAAGACAGCTATGGTCTGTGTACCTTGCATATGTACTTGTAGAAATAAATAAATATATTATTATTATTTATTTATTTATTTATTTGAGCATGATACAGAGAAGTACAAGGAATACAATTTTTTAAAATGCAACATGCCAAAGCCCCTTGTATGCAGAGCATTATGGGCAGGCTTAAAATTAACTTAAGATTAACTAAGCAATGATATATTCAGTGGTACAAAAATTATTGTAAAACAGATAACAATTTTATTATTATTATTATTATTATTATTATTATTATTATTATTATTATTATTATTATATTATTATACGCCTATAGACCTAATAAATAAGAATAATAACATAAAACTATGTGCTAACTATATGTAAAAAAGAAGGAAATTAGAAGTGAAGAATGGGAATGGCAGTCTCATGAGCTTGCAGCTCATGAGACTGCCATTCCCATTAGCCCCCTTGGGGCGGGGTTGGCGGACTAGAGGGGCCTAGGTTCTCCCACGAGCCCCGTGAGGGCGGGGAATGTGGCTAGGCCTGGGGACAGTTGGTCCCAACGATGAGGAGGTACTTGTACCTCCTCCCATGGGAGACATTAGTCTGAGAAACTCCCGAGACAGGGAGCCAAGGCCGGGCCACCACCTGGAAAAGGCCCGGGCCGGGAGAATATCGGCGAATCATGAAGAAGAAAGTGACGAGAGCAACAAAGAAATCCAGACAATGAAAGAATGGATTTCAGATTTCAGGGAGGGAATATGGAAGGAGTAGATGTGCTCAGAAATATGGAGGTGAACCTGTCGGCAGATGGGCCTCTGAAAGACGAGGTAAACTATGAAGAGACGAGGGATAAAATATGGATATGAACCATTCATCTATAAGGTGGATAGTGCACTGAGACAATGAATTTTATTTATGGAATATAGAAGTACCAACTCTCTTATATGGTGTGAGGATGGATTTTAAACGTTGCAGTGAGGAGGCTGGAGGCAGTGGAGTCATGTTTGAGGGCAATGTTTGTTGCAAACAATATATATATATACAATATAATATATATATATATATATATATATATATATATATATATATATATATATATATATATATATATATATATAATATATACTATATATATGTATGTATATATGCAAATCAAGCTTTTATTACGACATTTCGATTTACGTGAATAAACTTTCTTTAGAATTAAAGCTAGATAAAGTTTTACACAGGAAGCTGGACGTCGCAACAAAAGTTTACTCGTATATATATATTTTTCTCCTCATCCTGTCAACATTAGCCTGAGAGTCCCGTCTTACATAGGTACTTCACATTTAACACATTTACTACATTGGTACTGGTGAATTACCATAAAGTCAAAAGGGACAGTTACCCCAGGTGTGACGGGCTCTAATTATGAGGGGCCCTCAAGTGTGTGGGGGGTACGCAGACATAATGGGCCCCTTGAGTGGGAAAACTTCGGGGTATGAGGGCTCTCAGGTGTAAAGGGACCAAGTGTGAGGGGCCAATGTGGGAAGGGACCTCGGGTGCAAGGGACCTTATGGCGCAATTTTATGTATAAAAATAGTTATAGTGGGTGGTTTTGAGTAATTAATGATATAAACAGTTCTTGTCCCCCATGGGAAGGTACTTTTACACACCTCCTTCAATAATAATAATAATAATAATAATAATAATAATAATAATAATAATAATAATAATAATAATAATAATCTCCCACTGTAACATGCTCTCTAGATAAACATCGGAGACAACATCCTTTTTCTTGCACCACTCCTCTTCATACTCCTTCAAGAGTAGTGCTCTTGATTTAGCTATGTATTCATTTTGTATTTGATAAGCTTCCCTGTAATCCATTGCCAAAGATCTTTTTTTTTGTTGGGGGGCATTAATCATTGGTTTTGTTATGTCCTGCTTCATTCTGAACATGACTCGTGTCAGTGTCTCAGTTGTGTCAGGTCAGTCAGGATGGTGGGTCAGTCAAGACTGAAAATGGTTGTAATTATGATTTTAATTTCTAAAGGGGGTGGACTGGTAAGCCAGTGGAAGGTCTCGGTCAGATGACCAAAAGCTTCAGCAGTGGGTCATCATATGACTAAGACCCGCGTCAGGGAAACACTTGTCCTGTTTCCTGATGAATCTTACCTAACCTAACAAAGGTTGAAGAAAATTACAAACCATACCCCGGCCGGGATTGAACCCGCGGTCAGAGAGTCTCAAAACTCCAGACCGTCGCGTTAGCCACTAGACCAGCTAGCCACAATAAGATTCGTCTGGAGTTTTGAGACTCTCTGACCGCGGGTTAAATCCCGGCCGGGGTATGGTTTGTTTGCAATTGTGTCATTACGATTTCGTGAGTCATGTTGACGGCAGTGAGGGGACTTGAGCTAGAGTTCGTCACAGCCACGCTAGCTGGAGATTCGTCTGTAAAAACTTGCATTTGTGGTCGCAGTGGTGCCTGTGCTAACCTTCCTATGGTGTAGAAATATACCTAGTTGGATGAATCTTATTGTGGCTAGCTGGTCTAGTGGCTAACGCGACGGGCTGGAGTTTTGAGACTCTCTGACCGCGGGTTCAATCCCGGCCGGTTTGTTTGCAATCGTGTCATTACGATTTCGTGAGTCAAGAAAATTACAAGACGTGCTCTCTTTTTGCTCATCTCTGTGATAACTGATCAAGTCTCTGGTGAGCGAAATGTCTTCTCAGTAAAATGCCAAACACCGCATGTTATGTCTTATTAACACATTTGTCAGGGAATAATGCCATTGATACACAAGAAAATACCACCAGACAAGAATTCACTCTCCCGCAAAGAAAACTATACTTCGTGGAAATTACTAAGTAGCCGGGCAACATCAGCTGGAAGTTCAGTTGACAATTTACTCTCGACTAAACTCGCTACGGTAACTAATAACTTATTCTCTCTGCCTGAGCGAGGACTGACAGTGTTTGGTGCCACTGTCATTAGCGATCACGCAAATGGAAACTTTCTGGGCGTAACTGAGATGCTCAGTAAATATGATCCACTTTTACCTGTGCATGTTAATCGTGTTCGGCAATCAAGAGTCTCAGAGATGTACGTCGGTTCACTATTTTCACACGTGTACAAAACAAGTTGCCGACCTAGAAAATGTACAGAGAACTTTCACGGCGCGCATAACGGAGATAAAACACCTCAATTACTGGGAGCGCTTGAGGTTTCTAAACCTGTATTCCCTGGAACGCAGGAGGGAGAGATACATGATTATATACACCTGGAAAATCCTAGAGGGACTAGTACCGAACTTGCACACGAAAATCACTCACTACGAAAGCAAAAGACTTGGCAGACGATGCACCATCCCCCCAATGAAAAGCAGGGGTGTCACTAGCACGTTAAGAGACCATACAATAAGTGTCAGGGGCCCGAGACTGTTCAACTGCCTCCCAGCACACATAAGGGGGATTACCAACAGACCCCTGGCAGTCTTCAAGCTGGCACTGGACAAGCACCTAAAGTCAGTTCCTGATCAGCCGGGCTGTGGCTCGTACGTTGGTTTGCGTGCAGCCAGCAGCAACACCTGGTTAATCAGGCTCTGATCCACCAGGAGGCCTGGTCACAGACCGGGCCGCGGGGGCGTTGACCCCCGAAACTCTCTCCAGGTAAACTCCAGGTATGTGGGTCAGTTGTACAGACACCAATTCTTCATGAAATTCGATTTCCTAATTATTTTTTTCAACAAGTATGACATCGATGCCACCTTAAATTAATTTGATAAGGAACAGCTAACTATGGTTGTTCGATAAGTTAACATTGTGGAAAGTATAATACAGAGTGACTAATCAGTGGTCCAAGTTGGACCATAACGTTGTTCTAAGTCTCTCTCTCCTATGTGCTGGTTCTTTGTGTATTGTTCTAGTCACGGTGTTGTGCCTACTTGTTCTTCACTCTGGAAAGATCAGCATTTTCAATCGAAGGTCGATTTATTTCGTTTAATATTTTTTTTAGAGGAAAATTGCAAAAGAAATTTTTACTCGGACACCTGGAGAGGGTTTCGGGTGCCAACGCCCCCGACGTGGTGGATCAGGGTCGGATGAACCAGGCTGTTACTGTTGTCCGCACGTAAACTGACGGACGAACCACAGCCCGGCTGGTCAGGTACTGACTTAATTAAGGTAGGTGCCTGTCCAGCGCCTTCTTGACGACAGCCAGGAGTCTATTGGTAATCCCCCTTTTGTATGCTGGAAGGAGCTGAACAGTCTCGGGCTCTTGACACTTATTATGTTGTCTCTTAGTGTAATCGTGGCGCCCCTGCTTGTCATGGGGGGGGGAATGTTGCACCTTTGTAGAGTTTTTTGTTTTCGTAGGGAGTGATTTTCATATGCAAATTTGCTACTAATCCCTGTAGGATTTTCTAAGTGTATATTATCATATATCTTTCTCGCCTGCACTCCAGAGAATACAAGTCAAGGAACTCAAACCGTTCCCAGTAATTTAGGCGCTTTATTGTAGTTGTGTGTGCCGTGAAGGTTCTCTGTACATTCTCCAGATCAGCAATATATCGAGGCTTTTAGCACTGCATTAATCAGGCTTGTGACCATGAATTTAACACGGCTGGAAAGTGCACAATGATGAAGAAACATTTCTATTTAAGCCTAATTCGAACTGTATATTCTTTTCCAGCTACTGGAACCACACACTGAATTATGTAGGTGTTGACTCTGCTGAGTCAGGCAGAGACAATTACTCTGAAACTGTTCAGCAAATGACGATTACCTTTAGTAGCAGTCGTTAATGAATGCAAGTTCTGTGTTTACATTAATTATGTTTCACACATAACATTGTTAACCATTTAGAGGGTTCCCACTCAATTTACATGAATTTCGTTTAGTGTTCCGTGTTACGAACTTGTCATTCGTAACATGGAACAGACTCTACAACATACAATAATAACATTGAAGATAATTAAGTTTAACACAAAAGTCCGCACACAAAGTTCACTACCAAGACTCTTGCATGTAAATGTATATACCTATAAATTGGTCCATATGTAAGTTACTGACCCTTTCTATGTGATATTAAGCCATATAAATACCAAACTAAACATTACCATATTGTATCTCTCCGAATCTATAATCACGAAGGATGAGTCTGTCTTGATCCATGACGGAGAACTGACCACTTGCTGAACTCTTGAGAGAATGAGCTCCTTACTTGACATTACACTCCTCTTATAGTATTTATACAATAGCACAACTTTCCTGTATGAGTAACTATACGTACATATGTTTGTATAAATTCGTAAATAGCTATTTTCTAGATAAACTTACGCAAGGATATGAAACAACATTGTAATTATGTAGGGTCCCATGTGACTTCTCATTTAATGCAGAGCTGCACGTATTGGTAGGAAAAATACCGAAAAAAATATTTCGTGGAAAATAGAGTTAAAAACACAGGAAAGTCGCCAGAAAATGTAGCAACGATTTGATGTCTTATTTGTGTACGATGATTCTAGCTAGTTATGTCAGTTACTTTGAAGTGATAATGTTACCGGGGAAACACCCACACATATTCATCGACACCATGCCTAACCCTTCTAGGGTAGGGTAGGTGCCTGAGCCCGAGCCTTTAGCTCATAAGACTGTCATTCCCATTTACCCCCTTGGGGTGGGGATGGCAGACCAGAGAGGCCTAGCTTGTGGCTAGGCCTGGGGACAGTTGGTCCCAAAGATGAGGAGGTGCTTGTGCCTCCTCCCATGGGAGACTTAGGTCTCAGAGTTAGTTAGTTTAATATGTTTATTATGCACCCCATACCCATCCTGTGGGCGGTAGTCAAAAGATTACAGAGGTACATAATTGGTCCAGGGACTGGACTCCAAAGTTTTGATAGCTGAGCAAGTTACAGAGGTAATGAACTCACAATTTACAAAGGTAATGAACTCAGACACTCCCTAAAGAGGGAGCCAAGGCTGGGCCACCACTTGGACAAGGCCCGGGCCGGGAGAATACCGGCTAATCTTTAACTAACCCACACATAATTAATACATTTATAAGTCTTTTCTTTTAGACTCCTTTCGTTATATATATATATATATTATATATTTATATATATATATATATATATATATATATATATATATAAAATATATATATATATGTATATATATTATATATATATATATATATATTATATATATATATATATATATAAATTATAATATATATATATATATATATATATTATTATTTGCGTTATTTTCTTAGAAATACTGACATCGTTAACACTGCTAGCACACATGTACATAAATAACTAATAATACCGTATTCCTAATATATCTCCTTTATAGTATAATAATAAGATATTATCTCTTTATTACCTGGAGTTTACCTGAAGAGAGTTCCGGGGTTCAACGCCCCCGCGGCCCGGTCTGTGACCAGGCCTCATGGTAGACCAGGGCCTGATCAACCAAGCTGTTACTGCTGGCCGCACGCAATCCAACGTACGAGCCACAGCCCGGCTGGTCAGGTACCGACTTTATGTGCTTGTCCAGTGTCTGCCTGAAAATAGCCAGGGGTCTATCGGTAATCCCCCTTATGTATGCTGGGAGGCAGTTGAACAGTCTTGGGCTCCTGACGCTTATTATGCTGTCTATTATCGTGCTAGTGGCACCCCTGCTTTTCATTGTGAGGATGTTGCATCGTCTGCCCAGTCTTTTGCTTTCGTAGAGAATGATTAAAAGGACCCCAATGAAAATAAGTCACTATGACTTTTTTGGGTTATCCTAGGTTCTCTACACATATGGTGTTATGTATGATAATGTATGTAACTGTATTTGTGTATACCTTACTTAATGAACACTGTTGGCCGTATAGTGCTTAGTAATAATCAGTGTAGTTCTGGCTGTAGGACAGGTAAGTATATTTAGGTACAGTTACACATAGGTACAGTTATCATACCTGGTTACATGTGTAAATTACCTAGCAGGATAACCCACATAACAGCAAATAGGAGAATGAATCCTTGACGACATGTCGGTTCTATACTACTGCGTCAGACAATTTGTGGCTGTAGATAAATGGTTCAGAGAACCGACACGTTGATAAATTAGATAAATGTGCAACACTTGGGTATCTTTACTGAGGAAACGTTTCGCCACACAGTTGCTTCATCAGTCCTAAACAAAGAGGCCAATATATCCAACTTGCCCCTTCTCTCTAAAATTTTTGAAAAATTAATTCATAAGCTAATCTATTCCTACCTCATCTCCCATAACGTACTCAACCCCTGTCAGTTTGGGTTTCAGGCCTAATAAAAATACGAATGATGCTATTATACACATGCTAGAACAAATATACACTGCACCCAAGAAAAAAGAAGTCCCATTGGGGATGTTCATTGACTTACGTAAAGCTTTTGATACAGTTGACCATGACTTGCTCCACATCAAAATGGTATACAATACCGACAGGTTGGTAGGTAAGACACATAGGCAACAGTTAGGCAACTTTATTCCGAAACGTTTCGCCTACACAGTAGGCTTCTTCAGTCGAATACAGAAAGTAGGCAGGAACAGTAGGGATGTGAAGACGATGTAATCAGTCCATCACCCTTGAAGTCGTAGAATTTGAGGTTGTCAGTCCCTCGGCCTGGACTGACAACCTCAAATTCTACGACTTCAAGGGTGATGGACTGATTACATCGTCTTCACATCTCTACTGTTCCTGCCGACTTTCTGTATTCGACTGAAGAAGCCTACTGTGTAGGCGAAACGTTTCGGAATAAAGTTGCCTAACTGTTGCCTATGTGTCTTACCTACCAACCTGTCGGTATTGTATACCATTTTGATGTTCATCTTGTCAGACACTGCAACACATGGCCTCTTGGTACAGAAAACGCCTTAGACAACCCTTCCAAGTGAGAACTAAGTAAAAGGACACAAGTGCAACTAATGTGACATTTATTGTGGCAACGTTTCGCTCTCCAGGAGCTTTATCAAGCCATTACAAACAATACATGGACACAGAGGGTATATAAAGGCTCAGAGTGAGGTGTAATACTAGTGAGGTACCATTTCGATGTTTACTAGTGGTAGTAGTTTACCTGGAGAGTTTACCTGGAGAGAGTTCCGGGGGTCAACGCCCCCGCGGCCCAGTCTGAGACCAGGCCTCCTGGTGGATCAGAGCCTGATCAACCAGGCTGTTGCTGCTGGCTGCACGCAAACCAACATACGAGCCACAGCCCGGCTGATCCGGAACTGACTTTAGGTGCTTGTCCAGTGCCAGCTTGAAGACTGCCAGGGGTCTGTTGGTAATCCCCCTTATGTGTGCTGGGAGGCAGTTGAACAGTCTCGGGCCCCTGACACTTATTGTATGGTCTCTTAACGTGCTAGTGACACCCTGCTTTTCATTGGGGGGATGGTGCATCGTTGCCAAGTCTTTTGCTTTCGTTAGTGGGTGATTTTCGTGTGCAAATTCGGTATAGTCCCTCTAGGATTTTCCAGGTGTATTTAATCATGTATCTCTCCCTCCTGCGTTCCAGGGAATACAGGTTCAGGAACCTCAGCGTCCCAATAATTGAGGTGTTTTTTTCTCCGTTATGCGCGCCGTGAAAGTTCTCTGTACATTTTCTAGGTCGGCAATTTCACCTGCCTTGAAAGGTGCTGTTAGTGTGCAGCAATATTCCAGCCTAGACTAGAACAAAGTTTGACCAGAAGAGAGTCTAATCATGGGCTTGGCTCCCTAGTTTTGAAGGTTCTCTTATCCATTTTTGTTCCTGTCATTTTTCTAGCAGATGCGATTGAATACAGTGTTATGGTCCTTGAGGTGAGATCTCCGGAATGTTCACTCCCTGGTCTTTGGACGTTGGTGTTTCGCTCTTTTTGTTTGCCAGAATTTGTTTTGTTACTCTGATGATGATTTAAATTTCCTCAGTTTACCATATCTGAGTAAATTGATATTTTCTCATCGTTGAACTTCATTTGTTTTCTGCAGCCCACTGAAAGATTTGGTTGATGTCTGCTGGAGCTTTGCAGTTGTCTGCAATGGAAGACACTGTCATGCTGATTCGGGTGTCATATGCAAAGGAAGACACGGTGCTGTGGTGGACATCCTGGGTCTATTGTCGGTATGTAAGGATGAGGAAAAGATGGAGGGAGCGAGGTACTGTGCTTGTGGATCAGAGCTTTTCACCGTAGCTGCCTGGACTTTAACTCGTGACTAATACTTTTTGTGTGTCTGTTAGTGAGGAAATTAAGATCCATCGACCGACTTTTCTGTTATTCCTTTAGCACGCATTTTGTGCGCTATTACGCCATGGTCACACTTAGTAGTGGTAGTGACAAAAGTAATACAATATGGTAGAGCAATTAATTCGTACATGAGTAAAAGGATATAAAAGCTATTACTTGTGGTAAATAAAAATAGTTTTTTTTTTAATTTTATTAGAAACCTTACACAAAAGTACATAGGAGGCATTATTATAGGCAGGAAGACCAAAACATTGTTTTGTTCTACTAGTACACGGTTATTCCTTGCGGGAACAAGTATTATAACATCTTGTTATAGCAAAACAATACACGCTAAGATAAACCTCACTAAAGTTTATCAGTCATTAATAGTTGCCGCCAAGCCTTTGTACCCAAAGAAAACACACCAAAAAGAAACTTTACATAGTTTACGCTGTATAGCCCTTGTGGCTTAGCGCTTCTTTTTGATTATAATAATAATAATTTACATAGTTTAACAATATAAAATGAATACCTGACTGTCTATTACAAACAAAAACATCATTACAAATGTACAATCACAAGATCTATACCAAATACTACCATAACCTCTACAAAAACAAAACAAAACCCTAACATAAAGCTTTGTCAGGGTACAGATTTATTGGTTAAGGTATGGTACATTAGATCCTAACTCCAATAGAGAAACCGGAAGTGAACATATGATTCTTACACAATAACCATTGGAGAATACGGATTGTTAATATTATTATATGTTAACCCTCTATTACAATAATGCTGATACAGAAAACGAACTGGCATGCATGGTAATACAATATTAAAAGAATCAAAACAGTATTTATAACAAACCTCGCACATAAAGGTTTATAACCAAACCCTATACCATAATTTGACCTCCCACATGGTTTTATTAACCGAAAAAAAATGTCTTGTCCACAAGCTTTGTTGGTTTA